AAAGGAGGTAGAAGGAAAAACACATCTGTTTTGTGTACCTGTGCCAAGAGCAGTCATGTAGATATAATCTAATTTTAATAGTGGTATGAATGTAGAGTCAGTATCCTCCTTGTAAAAATAATAAAATGACACACAGGATTTAAATCACTTATTTGAAGTCACCTGAGGCAGATCTGAAATTGGAGCCCAGGTCTGTCTGACCCCAAAGCCCAGTCCTTCCTCACTCGCCACACTGCTCCTTAAGCCATCACCTGCGCCAGAATGTCAAAATCACTCATGATTAACACACACACATACACACACACACACACACACTCGCCTTGATACCCTTTTGCTTGAATTGCATGCCACAAACATACATTTCACACACATGCAAGAAAAGGTTTTGGAAGAGGGTAAAGATAACATGAAATTTGTTTTCTAATGCATATCTGTTATTGTTTGTAGTCATATTTTCCCAATTAACTTAGTTAATGAGTCAATTTCTAATAACAGGCTCTCCATGGAAGTTGTCAGAAGCCATGTGTTGAAAGGAAGCATAAAGGAGCCAATAATGATAGATGATAACGAGTTAACCCACCAAAAACTGTATCCTAAATATCAAACAGGCACATTTTAGAGTTTTATGGTTTTGAGAAAAGGTCCCCAATGCTATTATTATATACTAGAGGCGCGGTACACGGATTCATGCACTGGTGGGGTCCCTTGGCCTGGCCTGTGGGTATCAGATCTAGACTGGCTCTCCGACATCCCCCGAGGGGCTCTGGATTGTGAGAGGGCACAGGCCAGGCTGAGGGACCCCACTGGTGCACAATCGGGGGACGGGGATGGACCACGGGAGGGCTCCAGGGCATGTCTGGCCCATCTCTCCCAGTTCTGATTGGCTGGACCCCAGCAGCAAGCGAACCTACCGGTCAGAGCAGCTGCCCCCTGGTGGTAAGTGCGTGTCATAGCAACTGGTCGAATGGTCAGATACTTAGCATATTAGGCTTTTATTATATAGGATAGATTTTTTTCTTCCTTAAAAAGTGCATTACAACATGGATGAACCTTGAAAACATTATGCTAAGTCAAAGAAGTCAGTCAAAAAAGACCATGTATTGCCTGATTCCATTTGTATGAACTCTCCAGAATCTATAGAGAAAGAAAGTAGATTCATGGTTGCTTAGCAGTTGGGGGCTGGTAATGACAGTTAAAGGGTATGGGGTCTCTTTTTGAGGTGATGATAACATTCCAAAATTAGGCTCTGATGATGGTTACATAGCTCTGTAAATATGCTAAGAACCACTGAACCATATATTTTAAATGGGTAAATTGCATGATATGTGGATTATATCTCAATAAAGCTATTACCAAAAAAATCACATTTGCAACAAATATTATACATGGACATTTGTAGTTTTTTATTTTTTTCAATTCATACAATTATTTTAGAGGTGAGAACTATGGAATTCAGGGAAAGTGGAATGCCATGGCTAACTAGCAGTGCCACCTTGATGTGGGAAGGGAGTGGGTGCTTGGAGGACTTTGGCTCTAGGTTATGTCACAGAAGGTGCAGATATATGGAAGGGATCATGGACAGAAGGTCACAGTCCCGACAGGGGGTGGGAGGTTCAGGGCAAATTGCAGCTTCCCAACAGACATACTGGAGTGTATAGCTGGGCCTTCAGCAGAAGCCCAGACATACAAACTGGGGCATGGAGGAGCTTTTGGGGCCCCTGGGGACTGACTAGATGCCAAGAGCCATGGGGGGCTGGTTTAGGTAAAGGATTCCAGCTGCAGGGAAGCATCAGGTAGTAAAGGTGGCTGGATGAGGTGGTTTGGCCTTTTCAGAAGAATTGAATTAACCTAGACTCCCAAGTTAGGGGCCACCCAAAGTCACATCTGATTCCTAGGGATGTTAGTTCACAGCCTTACCAGGATGTGTCTTCAACCCCAGCTGTGTGAAGGGAAGAAAGAGAACCAGAGAGAAAGAAGTAAATGTCCCAATCAAGTTCCTCTTAATAACCCCTTACTCCTCCCACCCATGTTGCCATTCCCTATATCCGTTCAATTCAACATTAGTCATGCCAAAGACCACAAGAGGGACTGGAGATACAAAGGCCAAGAAACAACTCCTGCCCTCAAGGGGTTGATAGTCTAAAGGGGGAGGGCAACTCATAAAGATCATTTTCAACATAATGATCAGGTCCTGTGACATCTGCGCATTACCATGTGTTCAGGTTGGATTGCATGGTCTGCTTCTAGAAGGCCCAACTTAAGACACACACCTACCACAACAACTAAAACATCACACACTGAAATGTTACTTAACATACTTAATATTTCACGGAAATTAAAGTATTTATACTTTCCATAAGCATTACTCAAAGGACAAGAATGTTCTTGGATGAATTGAAATTTTCTAAACAAGACCTTGTAAACACATCCAATATGAAAATTTCTTCAGTTAACACAGTTCATCATATCCTCAATGGCAAAACATGTTAAGGTGGCATGTTGGGTCAACAATGAACACAAAATTGGAATGTAAAATTGGATTGTTGATGTCAAGAGTTTAAAGTCTTCCTCAAGCATTTTATTCTCAAATGTGACATTTTGGATTCAACTGAATGCATGCTGATGGGCAGGTCTGCGCCAATTTGGGGTTAAAAGTATGCTGTTTAAATAGCTGTATTTAAACTTTATCACTCTGAAATTTGGCTTAAATTGTGCTGCACTATTTTTATCATACATGAGGTCAGATAATGTAGTGGGGAGGGAGCAATAGATACTGGTCCAGACTTCGGAACTCAATATCCAAGTCACCCAGACAAACTGTACTCCCTCTGGGGCTCATTTGCCACATTTGTTTAAAAAGAAAAACAAGAAATTGTGGAGTAAAGGGAGAGGGTTTGGCTAAAGGATCTCAAATATTCCTTCTAGCAAAATTATATTAGGTTGAGTGAAGGCCATTTAATTTCATCATCCAGATAGATCTGTGCAGTGAATCATATTGGTATTTTATTTTTGAAATAAGAATTTCAGTACTTAAAAAGGAAAAATCAACCATAAACCCATCTTAGCTCTAACATTAGTAACTGGAACACTTTTAGCCTCTGAAATGTTAAGCAAGCCCTTAACCTGAGCCCCTACCTGCATTTTATAATTTGGATAATTTAAGTCACAAAGTAGTTCCATATTTGACAAGAAAGCAAAAATACTTTGACTAATATTTTTATGCACTTCCAGAATTATTTCTAATTAGAGACCTTATACTGTAAGTACTAATGCATATCAGGCAAAAAATGATACAATTTTATCCTTTCTTGGGTCTTTTTTTCTATGAAATAGAACCCCAACTGTTAGAAATGCAAGCTAATGCCCTCAAAAGGTTCACAGATGGCCAGAGGGGTTGCATTACAAAATAGAAAAATCCATTCTAGATGAAAGAAAAACACAGAGTAGCCTCCAAATTGGCCAAGAAAAGTTACTGTGATTATTTACTTATTTAAGAGCAGAACGAAGGAGATGGGAGAAATGTTTTCCTAATGTCTCAAGATTGGGGTGGTTTTAGTCATTTCTCTGCTGGGTGCATCTTATAAAAATAACTTCATGGAGGGGGGCGGTGTAGAAAACTCCAGCCTCTACAGAACTTAGCAAGGTCACTGTCCATTATCTTGTTATGGCATTGAAGATGTAACAGGCAGTAATTAGATCAGGGCCTGGAAAATCAAGGAGAGAAACTGATTTATTTAAGAATAACTTTCTTAAAGCAACTGGTCATTCAAAGGCAGAAAACTCAAGTCAGTCACCTACAATTTCCTTGTCCACTCTGTCAAGGGATGGGCCAGGCAGGGTCCAAGAACAGAACGTGCAGGGAAGCGGGGATGGGAGCAAATTCCCGAATGCAACATGTGAGACCCGCGGGAAAAGCGTAGAGCGGGTCAGAACCTTGCAAGCTGAGTCCAGGTGAGGGTGTTACCTAGCGCCGCTAGCCAGGAGCCCAGATTCCTCTGGGCGTGTTCCCGCCAGTGGCTCCTCTGAGCACCCAGGGCTCCAGGGTGTCAACGCGCAAAGTCGCCGCTTAATCCTTGCTCTCTCCGGATTAAAACACAAAGTTGGGAGCCGGAGGCTTCCTTCCTGGGACACCACGGGGTAGACACTCCTCCAGCCCAGCCGGCCTCCCCTCCCTAAAGGGACCCTGAATGGCTCAAGCCTCTCCAATGAGCGCTTCTTCCCAAACCGCAATCGAGTTTCAGGGACCCCCTGGAGACCAGCGACTCTCTGAGTAGCCGGAGTCAGGTTCCAGGCCCCCGCCGCTTCCTCCCGTATCCCGGCTCTCGGTTCGCGTCCAGCAGCCGGGGCGCGGGGCGGGGCGCGCCGGGGAGGCCGAGGCCGCGCGCTATTCTTGTCGCTGTGAGCTACCGGCCTGTTATGAGCAGCATCCAATCACGCCTCCGACTGCCCGTGCTGACCCGCACCCCCCCTTCCTAATCCCCTAGGCTTTGATTTGATCCTCTGCGCGGAACAAGCTCACCCCCCATCCCGCCCCATAGCCAGTTGTCCCCTGTCCTCGCGGATGCCCGCAGAACCCGTCTTCTTCATCCACCCTCGGGAGGTCAGAGCCCTCGCCTCTACTCCCGGACGCCCCGAGGCGGCCGACATCTGCGCATCTGAGCCGTCGGAGATCCAGTATCCGCGGGAGTAGGTCCACTCGCAGCTCAGCCCTTCCAGGTGATGGTGCGCGGCCCCTGGCGCGCAGGTGTGGGCTCCCCAAACTGGGCCGGTGTGGGGGCTTTGGGCAATGCACTGGCAGCCGTGGAAACCAAACCCTGCACCTCCCGGAAGCCTAGGTGCCCTCCACCACTAGGGGCTTCTGGAAGCCGTTCCAGACCGAATTGTCTCTGAGAGGGAGACGGGGAGATCTACGAATCTGATGAAGGATCCCCCGGCTTTAAGCTGAGCAGGGAAAAAATGGGTCCCTGAGGCTGGCTTGTGGGGCCCCAGGATGCCTCAGGCCACGCCCGGCGGGCCCCAGCCCCAAGCCGGCCGCTTCCCACCCTGCACAGCATGAGTTACTTCCTGTCTTACTGCAAAGCTCATGGCAGCGCGCTGCTCACTGGCTACCAGGCCCTGCGCGCCGAGGGCTTCCTGTGCGACGTGACTTTGGAGGCCCAGGGCAGCGAGTTCCCGGTGCACAGGTCCCTCCTCGCGTGTTCCAGCGACTACTTCAGGGCCCTGTTCAAGAGCCACACCCTGGAATCCCGGGCACGCGTGATTCACCTGCACGTGCCGTCGGCCACCGGCCTGCAGCGCCTGCTGGACTTCATCTACACCGCCTGGCTGCCGCTCTCCATGGACACCGTGGAGGACACGCTGGAGGCCGCCAGCTACCTGCAGGTCACCGAGGCCCTGGGACTGTGTGGCCGCTACTTGGAGCGCCTGCTGGCTCCGGAGAACTGCTGCTTCGCTCAATGTGGCGCGGCGCGTTTCGGCCTGGGGCC